CTTGAAGCATCCAGTGAGGGCTACGCTCGGAAAAATGATCTGGTTGGCACATCCTCCACCACCCTGGCATGAGATTCAGGAAGATGCTAATCTGATCCATCTTGGAACATTTCCTCCCTTAATAAAGTTCTGTCCAAAGACAAAGACAACAGTGATGCAGAGTACAAGAAACCAGAACACCAGGCACAGTCAAGGGCACGGATAAGCACATGTGCGTCAGAGAGGGTGCTTCAAGAAGACACCCATCACAGCCGCCCTGCACCAAGCCGGCCAGACAGGAGCAGAGCTCCTGTGCCTCACATCCTTCTCCAGAGTCAGATAACGAAGCCACCTCCCAAGCCGAGCAGAGCCATGGGGAAAGGGTTTAATGTGAAGGCACTTTAAAAACACAGAGCAAAAAATAAAATAAAATAAAAACACAGAGCAAAATAAAGGACTGGGAGAAGGAAACAGAAAGACAGGCCTTTTGCAGATGGGATGAGGTCCAAGAGATCAAGGGCGAGGGGAAGTAAGAAGACCTCAGATGTGTCCCGTACACATAACAATGCCACAATGAACGTAAACACTGTATGCCCTAAATACGAACAAAAGTAATGATATTAACAATAATAATGAAAATGGGAAAGGGGGATCTAGAGACAGAGGGAGAGAGATGGGGAGGGGCAGGGGAATAAAAAAGAGAATCAAGATGTGTTATGTACATGACCTACTCCCTAAGATGAATGCAAACTTCATGCACTGCAAAATGTTCTAATAAAATAAAGTTTAAATCACACATATACCACATTCTGATTAGCCAAAATCTCTCAGAACTTCCTTTAATGATCTCTGAAACTTAAAAAAGATTCCTTCTTCATTTTCCAAACCTACACTGTTTTTACAAGCTCCAGCTGCCCCAACTATGATGGGTTCCAGGACTCCCAAGACACTAGACTCTGGCTGCTCAAAGCTCTTATGTAAAATGCTGTAGTATTTGCACAGACCCTGCACACAACCTCTGGTATACTGCAAATCATCTCTGGAGTCCTTAGAATACCTAATACCACATACATGACATGGCAATAGTCGATAGATTGTTTAGGGAAAAATGACCAGGGAGAGTCTGGTTTTTCCCATGCAATTTTGTTTCTAAAAAGAAAATTCTTTTCTCTGGTACCAGAGATTGAACTCAGGACCTTGCGCTTGCAAGGCAGGTGTGGGGCCACTGAGCTAAATCCCTGGCTTGTTTCTAAATTTTAATGCACATGTCACTGAAATTGCAGATACAGAACCCACAGATAGTGAGACCTGCTCTACCCCCAGAAGCTGATCTCCTAACTATCCCTGCAATAATACCACCCCCTCCTTTTTTCTCCTTTCTCACTTTCCTTTCACTCAAGCTCACAGGACAGAAGTTGCTAGGGATGGAAAACCCCTCATCTGTGCTCCAGTAAATAGAACCAAACTCCACTGGGGGTCAGAGTTCAAACCCGGGTCTCTGAAGGCATGAGTGTTACTCAGAGACCATCTGTACAAAGGTCTCGATGAGTTTCTCATAGAATTTCTGCCCATCAGCCCTGTCCCGGGGTGAACACCCATTCTGCCTGCTCTAAGAAGTCGGCTTCCAGGGACCAAAAAGACAGACCCACCCAGGCCTTGATCTACAGCAAAGGGAGTCAAATGAGTGCATGAGCAGCTCAATCCCCAGAATGACAGCAGAGTCTCCCTGTCCTGCAGGGCCCCACGGAGCTCACCACAGCTTAAGCAAAACTCTGCGAGGGCCCTGGCCTCCAATCTCTCCTGTTCCCTCCCGCTCTCCTCCCACCCCTACCTGGCCTGACTGGGGCTTTGCACCTGGGCCTCTTCCCTCCCACTTCTATGTACCTCATCCTTCTTTCCACTTGTGTACCAATCATCAGACATCTGATTCCAAAATGAAAGGGAAATACAGTGTGCAAATGATTAAATTTTTTAAAAGTTATTACAGTATAAGACACATTGCCACTAATCTCCTTCAGAACACTCCCCTCACTTTGAACACACCTACCCCATTATTCTCAGCTCTTTCTGAAGCAGTTCTGGAGTCCTCTTTCATGTTTTTAAGAGCAGTTATCAAAAACATGATAGGCAGGTTTGTAAAAACATGACAATGTGTCTTGAGTTCGCCTTACCCACCCAATCTGGCACTGTGAGACTTCCATCTCTTCCCCAAACTCAAAATGACTGTGAAAGGGAAATGTTTTAGATCAGTTCAGGACACGGAGGCAGCCAACACAGCACAACTAAAGACACGAAAGAGGACTTCCAGAAGTGCTTCAGAAAGTGGCAAGAATGATGGGCTAAGTGTGCCCAAACCAAGGGGGAGGATTCTGAAGGAGATTCATGACAAACTGTCTTTTATGTAATAAATCCTTTTCAACTTAAATATTCATCATATTTTTCTTTTTTTTTTCTTTTGGTACGGGAATCGAACTCAGGACCTTATGCTTGTGAGGCAGGCATTGGAACCACTGAGCTAAATCCCCGGCCCCATATTTTTCAATCATACCTCATAATCAAAATATCATCTAGCCTTAAAAAGGAAAAAGGCACATGCTGCGGCATGGCGAACCGTATGATGTTAAACTAATGAAATAAACCAATCACCAAAGGTGACCATGGTGTGACTCCACTGCAAGGAGGGACCATGTCAAATTCATAGACACAGAAAGGAGAAAGGTGGAGAGAGGGAAATGTGGAAAAGCTTTTGTTTTTATTTTTATGAGTCCATGTTTGTGGTGCATAACGATGACATTCATTATGGGGAGTCGGTGCATGGACACAACACAGCTCACTTCTTTTCACTTCCCTCTCTCCTCCCTCCATCTCTTGGTCTCCTTCCCATGTGCAAAAGATCTCTCTCCCTGTTTCCTATTATCTGCCCTGTATTTTGCTCTTTTCATTTGTTTATTCTTTGGGTTTCTCATATAAGAGAAACCACGCACTAGGCAATACTGAACCTTGTGTGACTGATTTATTTCACTTAACATTATGGTCTTAAGGTGCATCCATTTACTTTCTTTTTTGGATCATTTGTTTCTTTGTTTGTTTCTTGCTATATAGTTCAGGCTGGGCTTGAACTCACAACGATCCTCCTGCCTCACGCTCCTGAGTGCTGGGGTTACAGGCATGCATCATCACACCCAGCACTGTGCACACAGCAGTGACAGAATTAGTAAAATACAAATTCTAGTGACAGAGTTACAGGCACAAAAGGCACATCACCCAGCAGGATGGGGGACAGTGGTCAGGCTGGCCTGAGCTCTCTCATATCACTTTACCAAATTCCAGAAGATCCTGAAGAAGCAGCTGCCAAGCTCTCAAATGTGGTCTATGACTGTCATATCCCACCACAGTGTCATTCAACTCTACAAGCAAGGAGCAGCCACTTGCAAAGGTGAGGACATTCAGAGAACAGGACTCTCATGGGACATTACTGGAAGAAGAAACCAAGAACCCAGCCAGTTAAGACTGAACCAAAATATGCTGGGCACAGAGGCACATGCCTGCAATCCCAGCACTCAGGAGGCTGAGACAGGAGGACTGCCAGGAGTTTGATGCCAGGGTGGGCTACAGTGTGAGTTCAAGACCAGCTCAAACTACATAGCAAGACCCTGTCTCAAAAAAATAACAAAATAAAATAAAAGAGTCCAGTCAGGAAAGCCATACCTGAGTATGACCATTAAATCAACAGAAATAAAGAACTGATCTGAACAATAATGGAAGATATAGATGCAGGACATAATGGGGCTTACAATGTAAAACTAGTAACTTATTAAAATCAGAGACTAGGGAAGCAGAGGGGCTCAGGCGTGCTGGCACCCTGTCCCCTAGGGTGGGGCACCCTTCATGAACACTGTCAGCACTGAAATATTGTTTTTTCAAAAACCACAATTCTAGCCTTGTAATGCTTTCAAAATTCTTGTCCCTCCACCTTTTGTGAACCATTTAGAAAAATAACCTCTCTTGTGCTAAAGAAACATTTAGTTCAGCACTTTTTTGGTTTCACTTTACTTTCCTTTTTTTGAAATCTAATCAATACTTTCATTGAAATGGCAGACAAGTTACAGTGTAACTAGAGGTTACTGTAGGTGACTAGGATTAGTGCCATAGGTATTTTCTTCTTTGTATTCTTTAATGTTGATTTCTTTATATTGACTGTCATTTTTTATCATTTTACACAAATACAGAATCATTATTCCTAATTAAAAATAAATAGACTGAAAAAGCAGCTAAGATCTTCACAGCAGTGTTAGGTGGTGGATATGAATGAGAATTTTCTTTGTACTTGTTGTATTTTCTGGGAGGTCTGATATTGCTAGTGGACAGGAAGTGATGTTGAAAATTTATGGTACCTAATAAAGTATCAAGAGAAAAGCCAAACTAAAAGATCTTTATGTATCTATGCTGACACAAGATAAATATGGAGTAAAGAGTTACAGATGATTTTTTCCTATTTTTAACTTCCAAAAGGTTATTTGTGTAGGAAAAGAGACAAACAGAAGGGGCATCCTTGGAGGTAGCCACTCCAGGCCCAGGCAGAGATGTGGCAGTGTCCCAGGGAGGGACAGTACCCAGGTGAGGCAAAGGTGACTCTGGGGTCCCGGTCCCCTAGCACCCAAAGTCCCATGATTTACCCTCATGACACAGACAGAGGCAGCCCTCAGACTTCGCCGTCACATGGTGACAACACATGTGATCCCATGTGCAATCAGAAAGATCCCAGAGAGACAGCTCCATCTGTCCTCAACCAGCACCCTGAAAGCCAGCACTCAAAGGCTAGGCATGCCCAAGCTCAGGTGCTTCCCAGGGTTAAAGACGAAGATGGGACAGGGGACATGGGGCAAGGAGGTGGCATAGGAGGAAGAGGAAGTAAGGAGGGCTGCGGGTGGAGGCTCTGGGTTACCTTTCGGCATCCCCGACATGCAGTTCTCGACATGCTTGGATCCCAGGGCCTGACCCTCGCACCAAGTGCAACTCACCAGAGGCGACAGCCCAGCATATGTCTGGTCCACTCAGTGACTCACCACATGCGATGGGAGAGTAGACCTGGGACCCGGGGACCTGCAGCAGAATCCGAAATGGGGCAACCCGTGCATTGGAGTCCAGCACGGCATCCAGAGCGCCGACCAGGCGACCTTAGAGGAAGAGCAGAGAGCCACCATGAGCCCAGGGACCAAGGCCAGGCTGTCACCCGGCCCAGCCAAGGTCCCACCACCCAGTAGGTGCCAGCTGAAGCTCTAGAACCCTGGCTCCAACCCTGGGCCACGATGTGACCTCAGACAGGCCACTTACCTTCTCTGTGACCTGGTCTCCTCCTCTGTCTTATAAACCAACCACAGTATCCTCTTCTGTAAGAAGTGAACAGCACACAAATCCATCTTCAAGGCTCTTCCTTGGCCCAGAAGGAGGATCTTCTAAGAGCTGCCCATTGTTATTTTATCATCATGAGTCTCAGCTCAATTATAAAAGAACAACCCCTGCCTCTCCAGAAAGAGGCTGAGAAATAAGGAAACACGAAGTCCTTGCCAGATGCTATGTGTCTCATGAAAGTCCAGCATCCTGTGTCGTCACACAAACACTGCTGCTCCTCCTGGGTCCTCTCCCTCCGGGAGCCCACGTGGCCCTCGCCTGACTTAGGCACATGCCTGGACAGACATGCCCTGCATGGGGCCGCAGTTGCCCAAGTGTGCAGTAAGTTTGTGCTTAACAACCTCAAATGCAGGCAAGAATCACAAGAGAGCTGCGGACCTGATACCCTGCCACCCCAGACTCTGCAGTGTGTTCCATACAAACAAGGACATCATCCCCACGACCCCAGTGTGGCCAAAGTTAGAAAACTGAGGCTGACTCTCTCCCACCACCCTACCCTCAGACCCCACTCTTACGTTGCCAACGTCCCAACGAAGATGCTTGAGACTTAAGATGGCGCTAAGTCCTGATAAACCCACCCACAGTGGAAATACTGTAAGTGGGATTGTCATTTGCGACCCCTGACCTATGCACACCCCAGCTCGGCAGCAGAGAAAGCTGCAGAGGTGACCTGTGTCCCCCTCGTGATCACAGGGCTCACAGGGGACACTGGGATGCAACTCACTGTCACTGTTCAGCGTCACAAGAGATTCAAACATGTATTTGGGAAAAGATCTAAATTCAAAGTCCCAAGTGCAGCTCCTACTGAACACTTCTGCACCACTTTGAAATCACAAAACCCTGAGCGCAACCCTCAAAATCAAGAGCTGTCTGCACTGCCTTTTCACTACCCCAGCTCCAGTTCCTCACTTAGCTGCGTCTGGGGTCCATGGAGCCTGGAGACATCTCTGGCCTTCATGACCCTGATGCTTTTGAAGATCATAGGCCAGTTCTTCTGCAGCTTGTCCCATAATTGTGGTTTGTCTGGCGCATCATCCTGGCCAGATTTAGGGTGTGAGTGAGACTCTTCTTGTCACCACTCCCCTCAGGGGGCACATGACTTGGATTTGTCCCATTCCTAGCAATGCTGCTTGATCACTTGATAAGGCAGGAGTTGCTTAGCTTCCGAATTATAAAGGTATCTTTTTTCCCTTTTGTAATTAACAAATATTCTGTGCAGAAACTATGTAAATTTCCCATTCCTCAAATATGACTTATTCACTCATATATAATCACTATGGTTTCATGTTTCCTACGTCTATTCAATGGATTATAAATCATTACTGTCATTATTTGGGTGCTTATGCTGTCCCAGGTTTGGCAGGCGGGTTTCTGTGTCCTTCAGACATGTCCTCACTATTCTTTTTTTTATTTTTTTGGTACTGGGGATCGAACTCGGGACCATGCACTTGTGAGGCAGGGGCCAGAACCACTGAGCTAAATCCTCAGCCCTGTCTTCACTATTCTTAATATCTTCTGTCTGGCACAAGAAATATTCCAAGTTTGCCAGGCATGGTTATTTGACACATTACATCTATTTGTATTTTCATACAAAATCTGTATATAGAAAAAGTTAGTTGACACCAGCACCTCCAAGAGCAATCCACTACCACTTTGGTCTTTTCCATGTTTGCAACTCCCTCCCTCCACAACACCAAGAAAGCCAGACTCAACTGCTCACGTATTTACTTATACCATCGACCCTCCTGTCTTGACCCACAACCCCCTTACTGAGTGGGTGCCCACTGCCCATGGACCCAGCCCCTGCCAAGCCCTTGGTCCACCCCACCCAATGACCTTCTTTGGAGGAAGCAAGGACACCTGGGTGTTTAGAGCAATTATCCCTTTTGCTACTTGGAATCCTTGCCTCCTTCCGGGTCCACTCCTGACTTGCGGGTGACCAAGGATGGGACAGCTCCAAACAGACAAAGGGGCTGCCACCTACTTCAGGATGGGAGCAGCCACCTAGGGAGGCTCAGCGATTAGGGACAGGGTGGAGGTGAGGTCTAAAGTCCTATTTGCAAAAGACTGGTAGGACAGTATGTTTGTCCAGCAATGATAAGGGCAGCAACAGAGAAGCTGAGGAAGACTGGCCAGGAGCTAAGGGTCTCCCCCATCCCCCAGGCACAGACACTCAGACTTCTGACAGAGAGACCTGCTGTGGAACCCTCGTCAGCTTTGGCAAGAAGAACCTAAGGCACCCTCAGCAACAGCAACAGGAGGAAGCAGCGAGGGTGTGCAGCCCTGAGCAGTGATTCTCGACTGGAGAGATGGGGATTTCTCTCTCTGAGAAGTCCCAGACAGATGTCTTCTGTCAACACTGCTCCTTCTGCTGGGGGGAGGAGGGGAGGATGGCAATCAGCCACAAGGTGACTTCTGGTTTTGGCTCCAGCAGGTAAAGGCCTTGGAAGCCTCCCTCCCATCCATGTAAGAAAAAGCTGAGCAAGCCAGGTGTGTTTGTGTAGGCCTGTGATCCCAGCACTGAGGCTGAGGCAGGAGAATTGCCTCAAGTTCCAGGCCAGCATGGGCTACACAGTGAGTTCAAAGCAAGCCTGAACTACAAAGTGAGACTGAGAGAGAGAGAGAGAGAGAGAGAGAGAGAGAGAGGAAGCCAGCCAACCAGACTGAACATCATGGACTTTTCAATGCTTTGTATAAGTGAGGTCACAGTTCAACCCACACCCCAAAATCTAGAGACACTTGGGAGAATCCAGAAAACCCCAGCCAGGCTCTGCTTCCTGGGTGTTGGAATAATCAACCACAGGATGCCTGAATGTTGGTTCTGACCAACTGCTGGGGCTGAGCATGGACAAGAGTAAGAAACTCCTGCCAGCCACTGTCTTCAAGGAACCCCAAACCTGCATAGGTTGTGTTATGGGGGATTGAACCCAGGGCTACTGCACTATGCTACGTCCCCTGCCCTTTTTTTATTTTGAGGCATGGTCTAAGTGGCCCAGGCTGAGCTCAAACTTGTAATCCCCCTGCCTCAGTCTCCCAGAGTTCTGGGATTACAGGTGTGCACCCCAACACTCAGCTGGTCTTAACACCAAGGATCCCACCAGGCTGTCACTGTGAACAGTCAAGTTTGATCACTGTCGGGCTCTGTGCAGGAAGAGCAACCACTGTGAAATCATGTTGCCAGCATTGCTGTAACATGAAAATCAGAGTTAAACAAAGCAGACTAGAGACCAATAGTTCCCATGCAAAATAAAATCCTCAACAGATATTGGCAAACAGAATCCGACAACACAGAAGATGAATTGTACACCATGAGCAAGTGGGGCTGACTCCAAGCACGCAAAGATGGCTTACCTTTAGAAAGAAGTTAAAATGCATCACATCAACAGGCTAAAGAAAAGTCATGATTATATCAACTGATACAGAAAACCCATTTGACCAAATCCAACACCCATTCATGATTTTGCAAAAAAGTCTTAGCTAGCTAGGAAGCAAGAACTTTAACTTCATAAAGAACATCCACACCTACTCGAAACAAAAAAAGAACCTACAGTTAATATTATACTAAATAATGAGAAACTGAACGTTTCCACTAAGATCAGGAACAGGTAAGAATGGTTTCAACATCATTCCTAGTCAACATCAAACTGAAAGTCCAAGCTAATACAGTACGACAAAATGAGGAAATAAAAACTATACAGATAGGGAAGGGAGAAATAAAATTGTTCCCAAATGACACGCTTGTGCCTATAGAAAAATACCAAAGGATCAAGAAAAACTTAAGGTCACTGGGATTTAGCTCAGTGGCGCCGTGCCTGCCTCCCAAGTGCAAGGTCCTAGGTTCGATCCCTGGTACCAAAAAAAATTAAAAAAATAAATAAAACCACTAGGCCAAGAGCCTTCTAAAAAAGAAAAGAAAAGAAAAGAAAAACTTAAGGAAATAATAAGCAAGAAGAACAAAGCTGCAGGATACAAGGCTACTATGACAACTGCTGTCCTATATACTAGTAATGAAGGACTGGAATTTGGGAAAAATATTTAATCACCATTGGCAACAGTAAACAGTAAGTTGCTGGGCATAAACTTGACTATGTATAGAATCTATATGCAGATAAGAAGAGTTGTTGAAAGAAATCAAAGATCTAAATAAGAGAGAGAGAGTCCACGTGTTGGAAGACCCAATCCTGTAATGGTATCAATTCCTCCCAATTTCATCTACAGATTCAATGTAACCCTGATAAAACTTCCAATGTATTTTATATATATTGACAAATGAATTCTAAAGTTTATATGAAAAAGTAAAGACCTGGAAGAGGCAATAGAATCCTGAGGAACAGCTTCAGAGAACTCACACTACATTAAATAAAGTCTTACTACAAAGCCACAGGAGAAATCAAAATAGTGTGGTCATGACAATAAAATAGCCACACACATCAGTGGAAGGGGACAGACCCACACAAATGCAATTGCCTGATGGTTGATAAAAGAATGATCCCATGGAGAATGATTGTCTTCAACAAACGCTGAGGAACTGAACATCCACGCAGAAGAACCAACCTAGACCACAGACCTTACACCTTTCACAGAAATGAACAAATGGAACCTAGTAGGACTTGAATATAAAATGTAAACTATGAAATTTGTAAAGAAAATCCAAATGATCTTAAGTGTGACTAAACCTAGGTAAGTTTTAGAGACGATACCAAAAGCACAATCCATGCAGGAAAAAGTCTGATATTAGCCTTTTTAAAAATAAATTTTATTTTAT